GGGGAAGGGGCCTGTGGTTGGCCATGATTATAAGGTGACTATGAATCTTACAGCCTAATTATTAATCAAAAAACATCTTTTTTATAATCGGGCCAATACAGTATTTCATTTTTAGAAATAATACTAAACAATGATTGAATAAATTTAAGTAAATGAAACTTAAATGCTAGTTAGTTTATGTGCACACAGATATTCATATATATATTTAAAAATTGTCACAGATTTATAATAGCATACCATGTAATTTCAAGTTAACTTTAAAAAACTATTGTTGTAGAACCATATGGAGTTTTGCTATTTTCCTCACACAATTCTAAACATCCTTGTTTTTATTACTAAAAATAATTTATAGAGACTTTTCTTTTCCAAATTATGTTTCATTTGGCTGTTTAAAATTTAAATTCTTTGACTCTATTCAACTTCTTCAATCAGAGCTCAGTAGCAAGTGATATTAGATGCTTATTTATGTTACATGCACTAGTATATACAAATACATTTAAAAATAGACTACATTTACAATAGCATACCATTTCACTGTCAGAAAACTTTAAAAGAAAAAGTTCAGTATTTGCTTAAAGTGATATTAAATTACAAATTTTATTTATTTTCAATGGGTATAAGCACTTTTAGTTGTAGCAGAATGTACAATTTTTAGCCTCATTAACAGTTAGCAATCTTTGTATGAATAAACTAATTTTGGTAAGCTTGAAAAGAAAATGGATAAAAAGCAGGTATCATGGATTTGGTAAAATATGTTGGGCATATTTTGTGTTTTTCCACTGATGTTTTGAGGTTGTATTCTTAAATAAAGTATATAGTTTTCTTTCATAACAGAGTATTCTGCATTTAATATACATGTAAAAATTACCAGCAAAATTTTACTAATATGAAATGAAAGTAAATAAACTTTAGGCACCAGGACCATCTAGAAAGTTTGTTTGTTTGTTATGAATTTCGCACAAAGCTACGCGAGGGCTATCTGCACTAGCCGTCCCTAATTTATCAGTGTAAGACTAGAGGGAAGGTAGCTAGTCATCACCTCCCACCGCCAACTCTTTTACCAACGAATAGTGGGATTAAACGTCACATTATAACACCCCCACGACAGAAAGGGTGAGCATGTTTGGTGTGATGGGGATTCAAACCCGTGACCCGCAGATTGTGAGTCGAGAGCCCTAACTACCTGGTTATACTGGGCCCCATCAAGAAAGAGATCTGCAAGAAGTTGTACCCCAGCCATAATAAGCAAAGTGCAGTGTCTTGTAACACAAGTGACAAAAGCCCTCCATGTGCCATAAGCAACAATACAGAACATAATTACAAAGCATCTCCAGCTGGAATAATGGCACAAATCATGTGTCCACAAGTTGTTTCAACAACATGTTCATTCAACTGTTGCATGCCACAAAGAGTTGGAAAACAAAATGGGTATTCATGCTATTTGATATAAAGACATATTAGTCAAGTCTTTGAATGCAGAGCAAACCAACTTAGATGTGATTAGACTCTTTAAATAGGCACCTGTAAACAGTCATCCTCATGTACTAGATGGATTATAGAAAGCCTACAGGAGGAAGGGGTGTTCTTTAACCATGACAGCCTAAAGATGGAGCCTATTAAAATGAAACTAAGTACACAGCTACTGTAAAGATGTACATGAACTGTAATGACACGGTGAGGCTACAACAATGTTATCATATAATGTACTCAACTGTATAAAATTCAACTAGCCATTCCAATACTTTGGTAAAGGTGAGAGGAGGAATAAGATATAATCTAATATTTATTAATACATTACACAATTAGCAACTGAGGGTAACATTGCTGCCCAATCAAAATCCATAGTTACAGCTAGATTATTAGAGGAAAAGTTGATCTATCACAGCAGTTTGGACACACACACACATATCTCATAAGGAAAGTTTGAGAAAAAATACCACAGGTGACAATAACTGACTGTAAACAAAATTGGCAATCTCACACAAGATTACTGGATATAATGAAGGTTATGATAAGTAAAGGTATGAGGTGTCTTCTACATGGCTGGTTAAAAAGAATCTACCCAGAGAAGCTTCAATTTTGCAGTCAAAAAATAACTGTTTTCTTGGATAAAAAGGAATATCTTGAAACCAGTGCAGATTCTTTAATGTTTTCAGAAAAAGAGCACATAAACTCATATGCATCTAAAATTAATATGGGCAATTATTTTGAGGGAACTACATTTGAGAATGAGAAATGAAATCTAAAGATATTAACTAAATACATTGACAGTGATGAGAACCATCACTTGATGTTCCAGATATAAAACTGGGAGTTTCTAGTGAAGAAAACCATCTTTATTATGAAATCCACTTCTTTACATGATGTGATCAGACTCAATAAATCTCTGGAAATGATAAATGGTGAACATTTTGGTAAGAACAATATAGAGATATAAATTTAGTTTCCATTCTATATTGAATCATTATGGTTTTCCAAAAGATGAAATAATGAAAACAATTCAAAGTTTCTTTATTGTCCCAACCAATGTGGTAACAGACAAAAAAAAGTACACCAAATCAAAAACTGAAGCAACAGTATTTGAAATTTTTAACTAGACTACATGTATACAAAATAAATAAATGACAGTGTAAAGTACAAAACTATGAAAAGTTACAAGTGTATGGTAGTAAACCTTTGGAAATGCATGATATTTATAGAATTGCAAAATAATGGGGATAAAAAAAATGTATGTAACTGGCTTTCTAAAATTGAAAATTAATTTTACAATAACCAAAATCCACATAATAAATTTCCAATGTACTCAGAAGCAAGGTCCTATTGGAGATGTTGCACATGATCCCAACCAAAGGGAATGACTTTATGAGAGGAAACCATAATCCACAAAGCAGAAATGATGTCTTTGGTGGTAGGTGTGTATTAAAAGAGAGTATGTACATTAGACTCCAAGGCTTGAAATTCCATAAGAATAGTTTAAGGGTTCCTTGAACAAGGTTGATCTGAAATCCTAGATGTACCAAATATAGTGTAGGTACCAAATAGGATTTGGGTCTATGGATGAGATGTAGAAAGCTGGGTGGTCAAATGAGTATGTGTAAGAGACAGGGTAGACAAAAGGTTCAGAATAAGCCAATCACCAATGTAAAAATGAGAGTTGATATCAAATGAATGGAGAAGACCAGCAAATGCTTTGACAATTCAACAGAAGATGTATGGAGCCAAAGGAAAGAGCAGTGAACTGATAATCTACAATCAATGGCAAAAACTAAGTGGATGAAGGTCTAATAGAGATACAAAGATAAGCATCCTGTATATCTACTGTCATCATCCAGTGGCTAAAACCAAGACATTGTCATAACTTTATGTTTTAGATTTTGAAGTATCTTCAGGAAAATACCGAGTTGACATGGGCCTCTAAACTTCTAATTTCTTTTGAAATGAAATGGGCATGAAATCCTGGAGAAGTAAGATAAATGATTTCAACTGCTCCTTTCTGAAGGAGATCTGAGACTTACCCAGAATTTGTGAGCACACTGGATTGTTAGGAAAAGGGTCTGGAAGAACAGAATGAGGAGGAGAAAAATGAAAATAAAAACCAGATTGAAGGTTCTCTTGAATCAAAGGATCCCAAAAGTTCAGGGATTTTACAAGTGAACATATGATCTGAGATGACCTTCCCATACTTACTTTAGGTTTGGCCAGTTGCTAAGGGTGAAAGGAACAAGTAGAAGTATCAGATGTCGACTCAGAAGTAGACAATGTAGGCAAGGCAGGAGGATGAATATCACTTGCTAGGAATCTCAAAGAGATGCTAAAACCCTAATAAGTCTCTGCTGGCCTCTCCTGAATAGGGAATTAAATTGGGTAAGATTCCTGTAGAGATAATATGATGCAGAAAAGAAACTCTTTTGAAGTCAGCTAAAATATTTGGGGGGGGGGGAGATGAGCACCTTGCAACATAGCATGACAGGTGGGCCAAGGAATCAAAAGACCCACTTGGTAATATAAACTACAGCAGTCATTAATAAAAACTGTATGGTAAAAACTTCATCCTAACTAATTGTCTACCAATCTGTGGGTTAAGAACTTAAAATGGGTAGTGGAAGATGACTCTGCTAAAAGGCCACCCATATGACAAATGCAACGAGTGTATAAATGTGAAGCTACTAACATTTCTAAAAGCATAAACAATAACCCAAATATTGAGAGAAGGTAGAAGATACAAAAAATTCAAGAACTGAATAGTCTAACATGACACTAGCGCTCTCAGGTGTAACAGAAACAGGTTCAACATTTAAAATAGAACATACCCATTATAAAAAAAAAGAAATTAGATAACAGAATAAGGGCTAGTTGCAAAAAACCTGCTCTGCAGACACTAAAGGTAAATAGGTCTGAGCAAAAGATTTGTCTTGTTCATCATCATGAGAAGAGGCAGATGTTCCTTCAATACGAGTGTTATTAAGTATGTTATTTTTACAAAGTGATTTTCAACATCAATAAGAAAGCTTTATAGCATGTTTCACAGTGAGCTTTTAGTAAGCATAATAAATTAATTGCAGTGCATTAAAATGAATCTATTAAACAATGTTACATATACAAAGTCATCAATACATCTAAATTTTATACTGACCATGTACTGCATCATAATGACTCAAAATATGACAATTATGAATTAAATATAGAATACAGAATCATAAAAAAATAACAAAAAAAAAGAGAAAACCCTACACAAAGCACATTTAGTAGGTAAATGTTCCTTCTTCAGGGGTAAAGCGTAAAATAAGGAAGTAAAAACTTTAAACATATATGCTTTTGGAAGGTGGACCATTTGGGTTTACTTTCATTCAAGTCAAAATATATTTTACTGTTTTATACGTAATATTCTTACATGAAATATAAAGATGAACTTTCTATACAAAATTTATACCAGAATTACAAAATATGCAAGAATTCTAAAAGTAGCAGCTGGTTAGAATACCTGAATAAAATCACTCATGCTTTATTTCTGTACATAAAGGAAGAATAAGTCAATTTATTCAAAAACAAAATAAAATTCTCAGAAAGAGTTTTTCCTTATGGTTATTTTTGCTTAGTTTTATGAACTGTAAACTATGTAACTTACTCTTTTAAAATAACATGTATTTGTTCAGGAGAGAATTCCGGATACTGATTTTGAAGTTCAATAACTGCATTTTTTACCGTTCCAGCCCCATGAGAATCACACTGTTTCTATGAAAACATATTTTTAGTAATTTGTCCTCAAAGTATACAGAAAAAAACAACAAAACACATTAGCACATTGTAGTCAAAATATATGCTAACAGAAATATTCCACTTTGATTACAAGTATTATGAACAAAAAAATAATTCATATCACTTTGCTAGGAAGGCAAAGTAATAAGATTGGCTTTAACTTTTTGTTTTTACTAATATTGCATTTTAACCCTCAATAAACAATGTTAGTTTCACCTTACTTATACCACATGGGGTACATTTGTATCCTATCCTAAAAGTATTAGTATTGTGTTAAACTGATTATATATTTAGGTAACTGACAACAAAGAGCTTCTTAATATAAAAAAAAAACTGTTTCTTTAGCAACACTTTATTACAGAATGTTTTGAATTGAAGCCTCATTAGCAGCTTTACTATCTCATAACTGCAGCCTGTATGGTGGTTATTCATTTTCAGATTCAAGCTTAAATGAATTGTAACTTTCTTCCTCTGACTGTTCTCCAACTAACCAACATAATATTGTTTTTCTGATTCACTACTTTCTTCCACGATAACAATACTTTCTTGTCACAAACCCTTGGATAATAGCTCCACACAACTTACCTGTATGCTGACTTTCAATCTTGGAGTGAAATATATAATAGAATCAGGGAGTAGTTTCTACTTAACAACATATGATATGATGACACCCGAGGTTGCTTATTGGCTTATTCAGTCCCTCAGATTTGGTATGGCCTGGTGGTTAGGGCACTCGACTCGCAATTTGAGGGTCGCTAGTTCGATTTTCATTATGACCAAACATGCTCGCCCTTTCATCTGTGGGGGTGTTATAATGTGATGGTCAATCCCACTATTCATTGGTAAAAGAGTAGCCCAAAAGTTGCCAGTGGGTGGTGTTGACTAGCTGCCTTCCCTCTAGTCTATCACTGATAAATTAGGGAAGGCTAGTACATATAGCTCTCATGTAGCTTTGAATGAAATTCAAAACAAACCAAAGAAACAATCAGTCTTTGAAACTGTTTCTATATCATTCTTGAAATTTCCAGAACATTCTTGGGAAGAGCTAAAGAAAGTTTCAAAAATATCCAGAACATTCTGGTGATGAGATCTACAATGTTCAAGAATGTTCTGGAAATTTCATGGAAAAGGTGACATCACAGATATAAAACAAGGTGTGCATTTTAAATGTCAGATAGTATAAATAAATGCAAAACATGAATGAAAACACTTGGGGTCGGAATGATAAATATTTGAGATTAGAAACAGTTACGATAGTTAGGAAGGTGCTCTGTGTAACAGCCACTCTGGTTTAACCAATGCTGAAAAATATACATATGAAGTTTAGTGGAGTGCAAATTCACTCCAGACATACATAGAACTAACCAAATATCTTTGCATCACTATTTTTCCACTTTTTTTAGAATCTGTCCTTTTGTATCTTTTATGATAAATTCTTAATTGTCCCAGGAAAGATAAACTGGATTCAGGCTCGTGAAAGACAGATTCTAGAAGTTGTGTCACAATATTTCTGTAGTTTGGCATAATGAATTATTTTGTTAAAACAGGTATGGTGCTTCCTCACAAGATAAATTTAAAGTGAGCAATGCAGCATTATCCAGAATGCTTTTGTGAGCTGTACTCCATATACAGCACACTCACATTCAACTGCCGGGGGTGGACTGTACCCTATATGGGGAATCAGCAGTCAATGGGTTAAAACATGATGTGTCCATCCAAAGCAAAGAAAGAATAATGAGATTCATCACTGCAAATGGTGGTTTCCAACTGTTCTTACCGCAGTTTCAATGTTCAGAATTTTACCTCACCTTGCATTATCTGGTGAGAGAATTGGTATATGTGAGACGTAGTCTACCTACAAAAAATATCCAGCAGAAAGAACAGAATTCTCTATGCACAACAGATATGATAGGAAGCAATCCCAAACTTTTGTAAAAAACTGGATTATGGGTTCAATGCCAGATATGCAGTTTTGTTTCACATCACATTTCAAAGTTCCTGAAGGAATGACTGATTAAATTTGGCTACTTATGTAGTGACTTTTGACTGGTTTTGAGTATTCATCCCTACCTTGTTTCTGTACTTTTTTGGCATTGCCATATCTACATCATACTTAATTTTTGCAAATTTTTGTTTTATTACTCGTAAAATCTCACACTGCCACAAATTTAGAGGAAGTTGTGCTAAATACTTTACAAGTACTCATCTAGACATCAAAAACTTTAGAGGACAAAGCTATGATAACACTTCAAATAAGCCTGGAAAATATTCAGGACTTCAAACAAGAATTAAAAAGCAAGCAGCAGCCTTATTTATACCTTGTGATAGCCATTCATTAAATCTAGTCGGCAATTTTGCAGCAGAATCATGTTCTGAAGTGGCATTATTTTTTAATTTTGTGCAAGCAGGTGCTGTTTATGCTCTTAAAACCAATTTTTGCAATATCATGGAAGCACTTTTGAACATTAGTGAATCTCCTGCACAAAATATTAACATGAGAATAGAAGTTACATCTTTAATTAAAATGTTTGACAATTAATAAACAAAACTGATGATTTCATGTTGGTCCAAAATATTACAAGTAAATGAATGTTTTAAAGAGAGAAACACTATTAAAACCATTGAAAGAATTCATCTTTGAGTTACGAAATGATTTTGAATGAATTTAAAATGAAGCAAGTAATTTATCCACCACTAGTGACAAAATATTTTAAGAAGAAAGAAGCAGTCAAAAAAAAGAGGAAAGTATTCTTTGATGAAAATACTAATAATGAAGTAACGTTAACAGGAAGAGATCAATTCATTTCTTGCACAGTTTTTGCAATTTTTTTGATCGATTACTTACTGAAATTGACAAAAATTGAAAATTACAGTGTTCTTATTAAACATTTTAAAATATTCTTTGATTTTACAATAGACAATAAAAAAAAACATGTTTGAAAAATTTATCTAATTTATATACGAGTGATATGGACACTGAGTCATCTAAAGAAAAAATGGCACATTTTTAAAAATTTTGCAAAGAAGAAAATGTTTGTTGCCTCAATGACATGTATAATTTGATATCCAATGGATTGCATTTGACAATTCCAAACATAGAAACAGTGGTGAGAAATTTTTAACTCTTCCTATTAGCAATGCTACAGGTAAAAGGTCCTTTTCTGTATTAAAAAAATTGAAGAACTATTTATGGAACATAACATTCCAGTATCGTTTATCTTCTCTTTCACATCTGAACATAGTAAATGAAGTAATGTATCAGAGTGAGTTAAGGTCTGAAGATCTAATTATGGAAGACTTCTTTCTTACCACATGACATAATTACCAATTATCTTTGTGGAAGTAGGAATGTGATCTGAATGTTAACAATTTCTTAATCTGAAAATGTATTTCCAATAGATACTCACCTCTAGACACAGAATAGCTATATCCCTCTTACATCTGCCTAAGAGATCTGAATGCCACTAGCCTTGTACTAGCTCCCACCTAAAATTCATGTGTCTAATGTGAACTGTGCTCTTCCATAATGACATCATCATGTGACAATAGCCCTCCACCAATAGGAGGGCAACACAACCTCCATGCATGGTAACTTTCTTTAAGCATGTGAACTTGAAAATAACTTTGTTCCTAGATGAGGCAAGAAGAAAGTGCACCAAAAGTGGGGAAGTTGGGTGGGAAAATGTGCAGATGTGAGTATCTATCTGAAATACATTTTCAGATTAGGAAAACGTTAGCTTCTGAGATGATACCTCACCTCCACAGACAGAATAACTAGAATCTCACAATGAATTGGTAGAGGAGCTGATGTAATTTTAAACCTAGATTAGCTTCCTTCAGAAAGCACCTGAAGAAAAAGCTCATGGAGTGTGACAACCAATAGCAGGGGCTCCATAGGAGCACACCCATGGAAGACTGTATCTCATCTTGATCAGAGTATACTCTTTGTCCAGAATGTAAAGGGGAGAGAGAGCGGAATCAGCTCTAAGTGTTGCAGGTATTGGCAGAATAAGAACATGGCCATCCAAGAGGAGAGGTAACACAGAATGGTGGGGAGAAAGAGACAAAGATACAAAAACTTGGCACTAGAGAACAAAACAGAAGATAATGGGTTCACTTCCCAAGCAGGCAAAAGAGATTCTAAAGACTGAGAATCTAGAAAAGAACAGGTCAAAAGATCTAGAAGGCAAGAAGGACAAGGCATGTTTTGTATGGAGATGTTTGACAAAAGAATCAGCATGAATCCTAATATCATGTGAAGGAGGAAAAACAAAGTAATCCAGAGAATTGGTTTCATGAAGTAAAGAATGGAAAGAATCAAAAGACACAGACAAAAGAGAAAGAAAAGAACACACTTAAGAAATCCCATCCAGAATTGAATAGGAGGCCCAGTATGCATGAGGGAACCCATAACACACTGCATGACAGTGTAATGAATTCAACAGTCAACAAGCCTTCAAAACCCATAGTAAAAACAGGTCTTGTGTTTGTAACTTCATCACTTTCACAGGACAAATTCGAAGTCACTGGCACTTGAGATTTCATTATAATACTAAATGCTTTCAAAACAAAAGCTAAGGTAGAACAAAACTTAAGTTTCTCTGGTGAATGCAATTCTCAGAAAAATCAACATATCTGTTCATGGCAATGCCAAAAAAACAAATAAAGTTATTTCGAGTGCAAGTGCTTAAAAGGAATTATTGCACATGGAAGTTGCATCACCCTCCTATTGATGGAGGGCTATTGTCACATGATTATGGCATCATACACCAGTGCAGTTCATGTTAAACACATGAATTTTGAAAGGTAGTTAGCTCAAGGCTAGTTTTATGCAAATCTCATAGGCAGATGCACAAGGACCATAGCTATTCTGTGTGCAGAAGTGATGCATCGTCTCAGAATTTAATTTACTATTATTGTGATTTAAATTTCATAGCAATACAAAATAATGAATAATAGAAAATAATTAATAAACAATACAAAAAAGGAAAGAAAAATGATATGAAACATTACTTACAGTTTGTGTTTGTTGTGGTGGATGATCAAGATTCTGACTGGGGTTCTGCCATGAAGTGGTCTTGTTTGAATGATTGATGTAATAACTGTTATAAGAAAAACACAGTCTTATTCAATGGATTCCACAGTCATGAACATAAATGTTGATAAAGACATTCATCTTGTTTGTTTGTTGTTAAGTACAAAGCTACATAATGGGCAATTTTTGCTTTGCCCAACATGGGTATCAAAACCAAATTTTTAGTGTTATAAGCCCAGAAACTTACAGCTGAGCCTTGGGGTGTCAAAGCCATTCATACTGATTACATATAGCACAATGCATATTTTATATCTTGTTATATGCTCTCATAATTATGAGATAAAACCTTTTGTATTTCATGTACAAAGAAAGACTTCTTACAAAATCTACACAATCTTAATATTCTAAACATATTTAAAATAAAAATATTAACAGATATAACCACAGAATTTTGAGGCTTATTGGTTACTGAGGCTTTATAAATCTGATGGAGAATAAATCATCATGAACATGTAATTTCATACGTGTCAAAATAGTTTCTGTTGTTGCCATTTCTTCAGAATTTTTTAAATAAATAATTTAGCACAAGTGCATAAAAACACTCTGGCTATCTAGAAGACTTGTCATTCAAATATAATATCCTCATATTACAAACTAAAATAAATGATATACATAAAACATTAACTAACTTTATCCAATTAAACTTTTCAAATAATTCACTTTAAATCAATACAGAACTTCATCAGATATTCTTATTTAGAGTTTAAGTTAAGATATGGTTCTGCTTTAAGTTTAAATAGCTGTACACAGGATTGAAAAATGATACTATTATAGCTTTGTTCCTGTTAGCACTTTAAAGCCCACCTTGAAAACATTATTTTCTATTATCTACAACAGAAAAGACAAAATTATACTTAATGTATCAACATTGTTTTAAACTGCTAGTGCTCTATTATATTCCATTTGAGATCCCAAAATAATTTTATTAATGATTAATATCAGTATAAGGAAAATACTGTATAACATATCTGAATAAGGTGAAAAGTTATATATTCTTGCTTGAACTTGCTCAGGACCACAGATCAAATCTGGATCTAGAAATCAGTGCTAAAATCTCTACACTAATCACACGCAATGGCTATATTCACCAGAGCAACAAACCGAAAGATCATAATTTTTTCACTGAGGATATTATAATACACAACTAAACAATGTTTGTCTTTAAATTCTAAGTTTTTCACAGATAAGTTAATTATATGTAAACAAACACTTAGTCTATTTATTTTGCCAATGCGACAAGTCAAGCACTAGAATAACTGACCATCAAATAAATCTTGTTTCTTTGAAACTTATTTTTATAACTTAACTAAACATAGCTAAACCTACAGAACAGAACTAGAATCAATTTGAAAGGTAGTTATGGTAATATATTTAAACATTTATTTCTCTTACAATTCTATATGTAACATAATACAGAAAAAATATCAGAAGGTTTTTATGATTTAGAAAGAACTCATGACTTTAGTACTAGTAGTGCTACTGAGTACTAAAACTTAGCCCACAGAAACTGAAAAGGTTCCTTCCAGTTGACTAGTTATTACAACACCACTGTGACCTGTAGTGACATAATATGATAATTCGACGCACGTTATAACACTGTTTGTAGTGATATTTAGTTATTACAAGTAGGCCCACTATGGTAATACTAGTATTGGTAGTATTACTCAGTAATAAAACAGTTAAATTAAAACGATATTCTTACAAACGTCCCAAATTCTTATCGAAACGCTGTTCCCATCCTGGAGGAAGCATTGACTGACTACATTCAATTGATTTTATTAGCCTTGACGCATACATAGTTCAACTAGAGTAATTTATAGTGACAGATAAAAATCATTAAACTCTAACAAGTTTAATTAAGGAAACACCTGATAATAAACAACGAACGCTACGCAAAACGAATACAAAAACCTAGCTCTCTATAGTTTTCACCTTATGATACAGAAAATGCTCCAATATTGACAACACAGATAATGATTATAAAAACAAATAATTTCTCGAAGTTAATAGTTATTTTTCATAACAAGTTCCGACTTATTTCAAAGTTTTTTGTTGCTGTCTTAAATTTCTTGAATTTATTAATAAGCTTCCGCGTGAATAAAATTAGTGTATTTAATTCGTTGTCCTTTATCAACTCATCTTATGGGTTTCAAAGGATATTATTTATTACTATGAAATAAAATGGTAACGATTGAGTACTTTTAAATAATAATAATAGACAAATGGAAGGCGGACAAATAGAACAGCAGTGTTGGTAGAGCATGGTTACTGTTGGGTAGAATGCCTAATTTCACAGTGTTCAAGAGGAATTTAGTTTTATTTTATTCAAGGATTTGGAGGCATCTGGCTTGATTTTTTGTTTGAAATTTGGTTCCAAATGAACGTGGTTGAAATATTGCATTCTTCATAGTTTATATATGTGTGTGTTCTAATTATTTTCGTGTTGTTTTGAGAATGTGGTGGTTCACTAAGATTCATTTGCCTGATTTATGTAATTGCGTATTATCCCGTACGAAGGATTTTGAAAATTGGTTGGTACTTTCTCAGAATGGTGAGCATTATTTACTTTAACCCTGGCTGCTCATAATTTCAATATAGAAATGAAAAGTTTATATAATTAAAAACAAATATATAAGGCGAAAATAATGCTGTAAAGGTTTGTTTGAAGTTAAGCACACAACTACACAATGAGCTATCTCTGTTCTGCCCACCACGGGTATCGAAACCCGGTTTATAGCGTTGTGAGTCCGCAGACGTCCCGCTGTGCTACTGGGGGGCTATGGTGTAAAGAAATCATATTATATCGGTACTTATAATGCAGTCACCAGAATGATTTTTAAAATAACACAGTTCGAGAACTCTAGTTTGGGAGAAAAACTATTAAATATCATTAGATGTATTTATTAATGTCAACAAAACTAAAAACTGATGTAAGTTTATTGGTAACTACGATTTGTATACACTGCTTATACTGTAGGGAAATAGATATCAGTAAATTATAGCGATTTCGTGAGAATGGCTCATAATATAAAAATATTAAACAAGTATGTAAACACACTAAAATTATTAAATATTTTTTATACAATCTATCAGCGTCTCTTTTAGTCCATTTACTATCAAGGAGCCATATTGTTGATTTACTAATCAAAGGGAACCCTTACTGATTTACGATGAAGGGTCCTTATCCATCTACTATGAAGGGCTATGCTTGTTGATTTAATATCAAGGGTCCCTGTCAGGTTTTGTAAAGCTGGATTCTTTAAAGCAGGCGTCTGTAACTTGTTGGCGATAAATTTCAACTATAAACAAACAGCAACACAGTCAGCTTGTTTTGAAATAATGTACTAATAACTAATCAAACGTATATACAAATCTTTGTTACACTGTTGGCTACCACAGTTATATCCAGAGCTTTAAATAATTGTCTCTCTTTCGTTGAAGTTTACACAGTCTGGTTCAATTACTTTAGAACACAGCTGAAAAGACGAATTATTCTGTTCTACTCTGTGATTATAATACAGTCTATGATAATTTCACTTTAAATATCGCCGTTATACACTTTTTATCGCGAAACTCACGATCATGCAGTCTAGAACTAGAACTAAATAATGATTCTCAACGTATATTTATACTCCGACTGAAGTCTAGGACATTCCACGTAACATTAGATATTTTGATGCAATAATACTCAATTAAATCAACAAGAAACTTAGAAAGTTCTAGAATGTGATGCAATAATCTCACTATTGTAAGCAAACGCTAATTCATAACTATTGAACCACACAACGTATGTTTCATAAACAGTTAAGTAAACAAACTTACTATAAAATACCGTTTCTAAAAAATAACTAAGTGTGACATCCGCGCTATATAAACTACCTAAGTCATAAAAATCGCTTTAAATTTAAACTGAAGCAGTCGTATATATCAAACAGCCCCTCCTGTCTTTTTACTAGCAAGGAACCCTTTTTATTTATCTAATATCAAGGGCCCCTTTTGTCGATTTACTATCGGAGGTTCTTCTTGACCTTTTACTATCAAGGGGTACATTTGTATATTGAATATCATAAAGGACATATATATATACGATGTAATGATTACCATGGGGAGTTTCAGGGAGGGGTGTCTAGAATGAAGAACGTATGACTCATCTGTAGGGCATTAGGGGAATGCATCCAATAAAAACAAAAACTATATTGGATACCCCTGATACTTATATTATGTAGGGTTTGAAAAATTGTGGCCCTTGAAGCTCTCAGGATTACTAACTGCATCATGGGTTGTGCACCTTACTTATCTGGGTTGTAGATAAGTTATCTTTTGTATTTATAGTTTATCAAACAATTGACAAAGGTTACCTGTTTCTGTATGTGTTAACTGACCTGTCAAGTTGATACCTATCATTGCTACACAGTACGTAGAGCCTCAGCTAACTCCAGCTCTTTTAGTTGCTTTTCTTGCAGTTTTGTCTCTTCAAATTCGCTATTCATTTGCTAAAAGGATCCACGCCACTTATATGGTTTATTATTATGACTGAGACAGTATTATATCTGGAGTACAGACATTCTATAACTAAACAAGCTCTGTCAGCTGGATAGACCATCACCATATCCTTGCTGTTGGCTTGGTCAATGCTGTACAATAAAATTCTACTTCTGAATTGTTGTGACCCAACGTTCAATCATATCTATTGGATTACAAAAGTTATCAGCCATTTCAATGACGTGTGTTCTAGCAAGTAGTAAATAGTGATGAAAGTTTTTCACATATGTTACTACTTCACGTAGCTTCTTTGTTGTACAATAACAGAATTTGGAAGGTGTAACTATATGGCTTGAGTACGCGATAAAATTCTCTGCACCATCTCATACAGGTGATAGCACTTCTTCTATTCCATTGTCAGTAGCATCTACAACCAGGATGAACAGAGTGTCTCTTTGAGAATAAGCTAACCAATTGGAGTATTCATTATAAAGAACACTTTAGCAGCTGAAATGATTGCATGCGACCTTCATTCATCTAAAATTGGTTTCACTTGTACTTAATGCTTATAGCAGTGCTGCTATGCTAAACTTTGGCTAAAAACATTTATAATAATAATAAATACCGAGAAAGCTTTGGACTTATTATTACTTGCAGATTTGGACCACTATACCATGGCTTGAATTTTAGTAAGGTTGTTATATACTTCATTCCTACTTACTATATGTCAGAGAAACACGTACATCAGATTGCATGGGAAAACATTTCCGTGGTTTCAGTTTGAGACCTGCTTCTTGTAAACATTGGAATGCCATGACCAGGTTTTGAATTTCGGCCTGACATATTTGGGCTAAATACCATAATATTGTCAACATAGATTAGACACAGGTCTATTGCAGACTATGTAATGTGAGTTTTCTACTGTTAGTTTCACTAACATATTAAACATTAGGCCTATCACTTCTATGGTAGTTAACTTCACGTCAACTATATTCTCTTTTGCTATTATCTGTCTGCTTCTGTCTGTCTGCTGCTTCCAGCTCGTCTCACGCTATTTATATCTTTATCACTTAATCTTCTGTCCGCCTTCTATATTCTCGACGTTAATATATTGCACGTGACGTTCGATATTCTCAACATCAATGAATTATTAACAAAACTTCCTACAATCGTCTGCTTCTAACTCTTATTATGACAAAAACTAAGTAATAATAAAGTATTCACTCACAAAAATAAATTAATCAATAATATCTGAACCAAACAATCTTTTATATCATGACAGTGGTATTGTATTGAGATCAAAAAGTTACGTTGTCTATAGTTTAATCCACCATACTGAACGTCAAGTACTTACATTAGTCCTAGGCGAAAATAACAAATTTATCTTCTGATATCCCGTAATCTGACGCTGTGAACCACCCAGTAATGTGCATAAAGGAATATTTGTATTGAAAAACTAAACTGCGGATCTGTATCTGTTGCCAAAGGCGATTTTTATGCCATTGACAACACGTAAAGGTTTACCGAAATTTGTAATGACATGGATTACTAGAAATAAATGTTGGACGTCCAATATGGCGCCCATTAATTAAACAGAAAGTTTGTGATGTCACATACAAGACCTTTGCAATTTTACCAAAGACGCGATTCTGTCCTGAAGTACCCAAGAGTTACTGGTAGACGTCCTGTCTTTGCGTCATTTGCAATTACTATGCTGACCATCTGAGCTTCAGTATAAGTTATATGTGTTTAATATTTGTCTTTTTAACTTCCACATTGTGTGTTGTCTGTTTCATTCTACCTCTCACAAGTCACATCATATCTATATATTAGCTCCACGAGCCTCTTAGTTTTACAGAGATCACGTAATTGTCAGCATGTGTAACCCTGAATTATCAAATATAAAAAAGCTAGATAGGCTCAAAACCTCTTACATTGTGACAGAGTGGAAAGGTGTGTGCAAAAAAAACTTGTTGTAAATAAATTGTGTTTATATTCCTGGATTCGTGTGTAAAGTAGATAATTTAATACTCCTGTTGGTTTTCATCACGTTTAAAAATAATAATGTTTATTGATAGGAAATATTCTGATATCGATTTTGTAATACGCCATAATAAACGACAATTTTTTACATAAGCACAAATTCACAATACAGTCGTACAATAGAGACATGTATCACGCTGCTGTAGCATCATTTTTGTTTGTTTAGCTCATCTGACGTCATCCACATGCTTGTTTTTGATTCGTTTGACATCATATCTTCTCCTCTCTTTTGATATGTCTGACGGTACTTTCATTTTGCTCTTATTGAATACAATCTCAACTTCCCCCTCTAGCTTTGGCTTTCTGTCAGCATCCTACTTATACCTTTTGGGTCGTCTCACAGTATCAGCCATTCATCTACCAGTATATCCTATCTTCT